CCAGGCAGGTACAGGTACAGTTGGAGCGAGGTTGTTTGTTGGACATACAAAACCGTTTTGTGTAAGTTATTATTTAGTTCATTTAGTGATGTAATATTTAATGTTTATTTAGTTTTCATGACAAGAGCATTAAAAGTTAATTATTTTAGAAGTGAGAGTTAGTACAAATTTTGTTACATAACTCTGTAAGAGTGGTATGTTGTGTGTGTAGTTCAGTTGTTGTAAATTGACAAGGGCAGGATCTTTGATTGATATATGTTCATATAGAATATATACCTCCCATACTTAAGCAGTCTACATGAAGGCCTTTACCCTGCTTTTAGAAGCATACATCGACTACCTTAAATATATGAAATATTGGGATGAACTGCTTACTTCCGCAAACATACTTTCTGTAAACATTGAAATGTCATGAAGCAGAACCAGTTTTGTTCCATTTGAAGAATGCTCCATCTGGCCTTGAGCACTACGGCCTTTGTTTGCTTCTCTTTCTATGCTCTGACGGATTTAGCCCTTCACTACACACTGGCTAGACATGTTGTTAGTGGATATTTTTATAACGACACCATCACTCACACTATTGATCAAAATGATTCTTCTCCCTTCCAATATGCTAATCATGAGCATCGATAATGTAACTTACCAAGCACTCCGAAATAGCAACCATCAGCCTGCTGCCGTTGAGTTCATCATTTCCCTGGTACAGGGCCCTAACTGGGTACCGACAGCCAGAGCCAACTGAGCCTGGAACTCGCGATCTGGGTAGGGTTATTACTCTCTGAAGCAACACTAGGTGCTACTCGCTACCTATTACTGCTAATGTCAACTAAATACCACTATGCAATTAATGTTGTCTGTTTTTTAAGTATGCAGTAATTCCACAGTGATCTTCTGTAAATCTTCTCACAATAAGGGTAATAATGTTTTTATTTAAAACCTGTCATAAATACAATTACAAATAATTACGTAACCAGTTAGTCCAACTTATTTATTTACATTGTTTGAATAAGATAAACATAAAAATGGTATTCAATAAATATTTGAGTCATCACAATATTTTGTAATTATCTACCATCTTCATTAAACAGTGAATTTATCTGATTTGATGACAATTTTATTTGAGGAACATAATAAAAAGACCTCATGTTTACAAACATTACAACTCAATAAAACCATAATATATCTATTAAAAAGTAAAAATACTGTGATTTTAAATGAGGAACCAAACATCAACAAGATACCTTTATTAAGCCTTAAGCAATCTCCAGTCATGGAACTTCCTTGCTTTGTATTGCATATATAATCCTGTGTTTAGGTAAACTACTTAAATTTGATGATGACAAAATCTTTTCCAAAAATTGTACATTTGTTACTGTGTTAAACTTTTAATGAAGTTTCTTTGTTACTCATTCAACCCATCTTTAAACTGTATAAGCTTATCTACATTATTTCAAGCTACTTGATGTCTTCTTGTTAATGAAAATGTCTGTTGCTTTCAAACAGATATAATTTAACACACTTTCACAATTTACAGCAAAAAGTACATTTACAGAAACCAAAAATAAAACTTTTAGATCTAAATATTTACTCTATTAATACCTGATTGTCTAATTCTTGCTATATTCATTCATATTCAAACTTTCATTATAGATTCTTAAGAAGTGATAGTTTTGTAATAAATATAGTTATTCTTGAGATGAACAGAAAAGGTCTAAAAAATTCAAGTACATTATTTTGTTTACAAGCAAAACTCTTCAGCTGTGCAGAAGTGAAAATATCAACTTTTCTTTACGAATTACACTAAATAAGTATCAGAATATGATAAAATATAGGTTTTAAAATTTTTTTGAGTTAAAATTGTTTAAATACTTAGAGATGATATATAAAATTGCTTTAAATATTTATGCTAAAAAGAGAATATGGAGAATGCAAGAAGAAGGCAAAGAATGTAATTGCCAAAGCAATAATTTGAAGCCTGGAAAGAGTGGTATGAAAATCTTGGAACACCAGAAGGAGAGCAGGTTGTATATATAGTATAGAAAAATTAAAAGAACTAGCTAAAGACGTTGGAGAAACAAGTATCATAAAAACAAACATGGTTGTATTAAAGCTGATGTAAAGGACATCAAGAAGTGATGGAAAGAGGATTATGAAGAAGTGATGACTGTAGAAAATGAGAGGAGTTGTGGAAGGTCCATTGGAAGAAGTCAGAAGGTTGGAGATGAAGAAAGCCATAGTAATGAGATGGTTTGGACATGTAGTAAGAAGTGAAGAAGGATATGCAGTTCTCAGAGCATTGGAAATGCTAACAGAGGAATGAAGAAGTAGAGGAAGACAGAAAATACAGTAGAAAGAGTATGAGGAATGTCAGTGCAACTAGTAATGATGCAGAGGACCGTAATCTATGATGAAGGGAAACCCAAGTGGCTGATGCCATACCATAATGGGATTAAGGTTGTATGAAGAAGAAGACTGATATTAATAAAGAAATATAATTGAGAAATTTCACTAGATTGAGCACTTATGTTAGATGTTGTTAGAGATGAGTTTATTTAGTCGCAATGGGAATCAAACTTGAGATATCCCCCCCACCACCACTTTCCCATTATGTAGCTTTGTGTATAACAACAAACAAACGTGATGGCAGTATTTCTTTTTGTTGTTACTTGGATGTTCAGAATAACCAAAAATCTTAATTTCAATTTGGTGATTATTTTTGTGATAATTTAATTATAATTTCAATTAATAGATTGTTGGAATATTCAAAAACAGTAATAATTGGAACAATTAATTTGGTATTAGGGACATGAGGTGTTTTTTCAAGATTGAAAACACAGCTGGTAGAATGTTTTCCTCAAGTCATTCTTGGACTAAAGCAGCAGTCTGAAAAAGTTTTTTCTTTTATTGGAATTGTTGTCAGATATGTTCCTCAAAATACTCCGGTTAGCATTCCAGAAACCAAGAATAAGAATTTCTTTTACATTATTGTATGTTATTTATACCATCAAATGATGTCATTGGTAATGTATTCGTGTTGAAGACATCTGTGTTGTCATTGGTTACTTTTATAAGATTTGTCTGTTTATTCATTCTCTTAGAGATTATTTGGTGAACAAATTTATATGAAATATTTTGTTTCATCAGAGGATTCTGGGCCCGGCATGGCCAGGTGGTTAAGGCGCTCGACTCGCAATCTGAGGGTCGCGGGTTCGAATCCCCATCACACCAAACATGCTCACCCTTTCAGCCGTGGGGGCGTTATAATGTGACAGTCAATCCCACTATTCATTGGTAAAAGAGTAGCCCAAGAGTTTGCAGTTGGTGGTGATGACTAGTTGCCTTCCCTCTAGTCTTACACTGCTAAATTAGGGATGGCTAGTGCAGATAGCCCTCGTGTTGCTTTGCACGAAATTCAAAACAAAAAAAACAATAAGAGGATCCAGGCAGTATTGAAATTAATGGTAAGCCTTTGCCTGTTGTTTGTTGTCTGGGGGTTGTATTTAAATTTTTCCAGGTACCTGATGATGACAAAACCTTGTCGAAACGTTGTACATTTGCTGTTATGTTAAACTTATATTAAAGTTTTTCTTCATTGCCCATTCAAGCCGTCTCCAGCCATTATTAGTCTCAAAGTGGGTTCCTCGTCATCGAAATCGAATTTTCAAAGAATGTTAAAATATTTGTAAGGCTAGATTTTCCCTTGGTGAAACCATGTTGACTATCCAATAAAATTCTAAACTTTAGTTAACAGTTTACAAAAGATCTTATTTAATCAATAACAATGATTGTAGTATAACATTATGAAGCATCAAACATAACTTTGTTCAAAGATGTTGTCACTGTTGTGTTACTTTTAGTATACATTTAAGATTTATAATTATGATTCATAGTAGTTGCAAGTATAGTTAAAAGAAATGATTTAGCAACAAAAATAATTAACATTCAAAATGTATACAACTAAATAGTGTTATTCTAGCTTTATACTTCATTCAAGCTGAAGCTGTGTGTGGCCTGGTGTTTGGTTTGCCAGACAAGTAATCCAAAGGTTGCTGGTTCATGTTACTTTCCTGTTTAAATTTGTACTCTATACTTTGGAGCCAAGGGTGCTGTGTAAGACTGGTGCTTAAATCCCACTATTCTGGCATACAAGAGAAGCTCATGAATTGGTGGCAGGTGCTTTTAACTAACTGCCATTCCTATTTGTATGGTTCTCTCCTTTTCTTTCTGAACAAGAATTCTGTTGCACTCCCCACATCCCTTATATTTGTGTATGTAATGTACATGTCATTTTCCCATGTTAATTGTTATTATTATTATTATTACGTAATAGTAGTGATATTTGTACAGTAGTTTTTATAACTTCTTTATTTATAATTTTGTACTTATAGATATAACTCATGTGCTCCTATAGTCACTGTTCTGCTCCACCCCCAAGGGGGTCACACCCAACAGTTTGTGCACCACAGCTCAAGTTTTTCAGTGCAAAATTATGGACAACTATGTGCTCATAGCACGTGTTTAGCTTTGCATGAAAATTGTGGTCTATTCGGAAGGAAACATGATTGGACTGTAAATTTATAGTTTCATGGTTTGTGTTACATTGCTGCAAAAACCTGCTTCTCACTTTGGAATTGTTTGTGCACCATAAGAGTGGCAGCCAAATCTTACTGTTTGGTCAAACAAGAGTTGGTAGTGAATGCTGTTGACTAGTTGCTTTCCCTTTAGTCTGTCAGTTCAAAATTAAGACTGTCTGTGTGCACATAGCCTCAAAACAATAAACAGACATCAAATTATATTAAGTAAACTGATTTCAGGAAATATAGTATTTAGAAATTGATTGATTAAAACTTTTAACTTCAACTTTGTTATTTTTCTTTTCAGTGTATTTAATAAACTTCTTGTGTAATTATTTATGTATCCCTTTTTTTATTCTTTATATATAGAGAAAGAAAAACTGGTTAGAAATTTGTTTGATTTCATTGAGTCCTAAACCTTTCAAAGTTTTACTTTTGTGAACTTTCACAACCTCTAAGAGAGAGAGAGAGAGCCAAAATTGACTTGCTAATCCCCAAACCACTATCCCTGATTGTGGTCCATTGAACTTGAAACGTCTTGCACAGACACGCATACTCAATTTACAGAAGTTAGCAGTAGTGGTTGGAACCATTAAACAAAGATTAATGGCTGAATTGTACACTATGATGATTAGAAATGAACTGGTTTCAACATATATATATGGGCTGAAAGATTATGTATTGGAAGGTAAACAATGATAAAGGTATTTGAATTATATAAATTGTTTGAGATCTATACCAAAGTGATGTTATTCAGAATGGCCCAATTGAACATAATTAGAGCTACATTAATCCAATTCATTATTAGTTAATGGACAACTGAAAGTATATTAGTCTTACTAGCTTTATTGCAACACTACCAGTTAATGATTTAGGAGCTTAATATACTTATGGGTTAAGAACTGTTGAAAAGTAACATCATATAAGATAAAAAACAAAAATCACACATTTTTCCTTAAGAAGTCTGTGTATTTAAGTTTATAGTAAGCTAAGAATGATTAATTTCTACATTTATTCCAAACTTTCAAAATGGATTTATCTTTGTAACTTAGCTAAGAATTATTACAATTTTTCTTTCCTTTGAAGAAAAGATATTTTATAGAAGTGGAGTATAATTCCAGTAGTCAGTATTGGTGAGTATCGGCAGAATTTCACCCCTGAGTGGAGTTCCATTATGTACCCATACACATGTTGTCAGCATAGAAAAATGAATGTAGATTTGACCATTTGTTTCATTAGGTACCTGTACACATGCTGTTAGTTTAGAGGATTGTATGTAGGTTTGGCCATTGATCACATTATGTACTCATATGTGCTGTTAGCATAGAGGACTGTATGTTGGTTTGACCATTTACACAGACAGCACATGTACAAGTACATAATGTGACAAATGATCAAACCCACATACAGGCAGTCCTCTGCACTGACAGCACATGTATAAGTAAATAAAGTGTAGAGGACTGCCTGTATGTGGGTTTGATCATTTGTTACATTATGTACTTGTATAGGTGCTGTCACTATAGAGGTCAGTATGTTGGTTTGACCATTTACACGTTATTTACTTGTACATGTGCTGTCAGTGTAGAGGACTGCCTGTATGTGGGTTTGATCATTTGTTACATTATCATTCTGAGTTATTGAACATCCTGTCTACAAAAAGCACGGGTGCCACAGCAATTACCAACCACCAGCTTGAAAGATTTAGAACTCTTGTTCCATTGGAAGAATTCAAACTTCTCATTTCATCCTGCAGTGCATATCAGAATTAAAGAAACAATTTAGATTTGTTAGTTTTAGTATTGAAAAGTACTTCTGATTTTGTAAAAAAAAAAGAAACACTCGATATAAAACAACTTGTGAAATGCAGTTTGCTTCAGAAAAGAATAAATGAAATTTATGAAAACATGCAGTAAGCTGCTTGCATCTATTGATTGGCAAATGCTTTTTTTTTTACCATTTTAGTTTGTTCTGTTTTTTGTTTTTTATAGTAGTGTTGGACATGTTGCATGCACACACTTAGCATTTTTGCATGATTGTCTTGTGATTGTAAAATTTCCAAGAATTAAACAGATTAAGTAGATGTGTCATTTTAGTGAAGAAAATGAGACATGTTTTACTGGATGTAATTTTAATCTGTATAATCATACCACATCTCATGTCCTTTACACAATCATTTTTTGAACTCTTAATGACATCAGCCTGGCATGGCCTGGTGGTTAAGGTGCTTGATTCACAATCTTTGAATTGTGGGTTTGATTCCTCATCGCCATGGGGGCATTATAATTTGACAGTCATTCCCACTGTTTGTTGGTAAGAGAATAGAACCAAGAGTTGGCAGTGGGTGGTGTTGACTAGCTGCCATTCCTCTCGTCTATCATTGCTAAATTAGTGTCAGCTAGCACAGATAGCCTTGTGTAACTTTATGTGAAATTTAAAGCAAACCACTTAATGAGATAGCTTTCAGCTATTGTGAAATAATTCAAAATTAAGGTGTCACACAAGCCAGCTAGTCGAAGTCAAATTCTCATCATATTTATTTATTTATTTCTTTTAACTTTCCTCCGATGTCTTCAGCTTGCTTATTGCTGAACATATGTTTCAATAAGTGTAAAATGAGTTTTCTTTAAATATGTTAACACCACTTCTGATAACATTTTAAACTTTTTATATATTTTTATTTCTATCATTTATATAATTTGATTAGTATTATACATACAAAATCTTTATAGTGTGTATATTTATGAGTATATGTTTAAAACTTTTAACATGTAGACTATCAGTTACTGATTTTTTTTTATTGTACTTGTGAATATAATAGACTTCATTTCAATTCCTTTTTCTTGTTACTGAAACAATACAAGATTTTAAATGATAATGCACATTTTCTTAAGCATACATGTTACTTACTAAGTAGTCTTTATTTTCTAGGTACATACGATGTTTAAAAAAGTATGCCGCTTCATTCGTCAACATCAGAAAAAGATTCTAGTAGGTGGAGGTGTTATGGTAGGAGTTTTATGGTTGAATAAGTATCTCCACAGTAAGTTGGTAGACTTTGAGTTTAAAAGGACAACTGAATATGTAGAACAATTGAAGAAGCAACAACATTTTGAGGGAACCCTTCAGACATGTGACTCATCAACAATATCTTTGGTACCAAAGGTGTGGGAACACCTACTCATGCTCCTAGATTTTGACCAGGTTTTGGATATGTTGAAGATCAAGTCTGGAAACAAACTTCAGCTATGGGAGGAGCTGAAGATAAATATTATTAGTTATGCAGTGTGTGAAGTTTATGCTACAAGCTTGTTTGTGATGTTTATGAGAGTGCAGCTGAGCGTAATTGGGGGATACATGTATGTTGACACCCATTGGCAAAAGTCTGAAAATGGCATAAATTTTCCTCTAGCCACAGCAGAAGTTCAACAGAAATATTTAGCATGCATCCAACACTTTCTTGACATTGGTGTGAAGCAGCTTGTAAGGCTAGTCTCTGAAGCTGTGAAGAAACAGTTTGGTAGTGTGAGCTTGAAAGATAATCTTTTCTTAAAAGACTTTCACTCCCTTCTTCAAAATGTCAAACTTGATATTGCAGGAACTCATGGTGTAATTCCAAAAGTGAGTGAGTACTTGCTTCCTGATGACCCTGCTCATCTTCCTTCTGGTTCATCTGCTTCAACAACACCATTGGTGTTGTCTAAACTTTTGGTTGAAACCAGTGACATATTGGAAAGTCCAGACTTTGTGAAGGTATTGTCTAGCTGTGTAGATCAAGGGTATGGAGCACTCCTGGATAAATTGTCTGAATGTTACTTTCATATAAATCAAAGTAATAAAGACAGATTTACCAATCCTTACAATGTAAATGTTCCACTTGCCAAAGTCATTCCAGTATTAAAAAAAGTGCTTCAGGATGTTCCAGTTGAAGATAAAAGTTTATTTACATATCAGTTGCTGCAGTTAGAGCTCTTGAAATCTTTTTCTGCCAACATTTATGAAGCTTTCTCCCAATCTGTTGAAGATTCTAACCACAGCCTAAATAAACAAGTCCAAACAGTGTGAACCTGTATGTAATTCATACTTGTATTTATCATTGTAGTTGTGCTATTCTGTAATTAATCCTAGTTTGTTTGTTTTTTCAAAAGGGATTATATATATATATACAGGTGTACATTAAGACTATCAGTTATCAAATAGATATTTTCTTCTGGACCAACTTCGTACTGTAAGGGATCATTAATATTATATGCAAAACATCAGGATTCAATTTATCAGTGAACATGTTAAAAATATGATTATTCATTTATAATTTTAATAAATTGGGATGTTTGTAAAGGTTTCCTTGTTTTTTTCAAGAATATAAATGTCTTAATATCTTGGTTATCTATTGTGTGATTGTTTTTTTTTTATGAAGTAATATTTTTGCTTTTCCTTCAGTTAGTAAGATGTAAAACCAACCATTAAAAGAAGGGCTTTAAAATTGTACCCAGTTTTCAGTAACTAAATCATTTATTATCTTTAGGGTTAGTACAACCCTATATTGATTTTTGGTTGAGATTGAGTTGTTGTCTCAGTTTTATATATATTACTGAAACCTTAATTACAGTAATTGCATTTATTTTCAAGATTACAAAATCACTGATTAATGAAATTATTAAGCAAGTTATGGGGATAATAATAATAATTGTTAAGAAAGAAGAACATTAATAGTAGTTATAAAAGGTTGTAATAGATGATTATGTTTTGAAATTATTAGTGTTGTGAAATATCTAATTAACACTAAGCTAAACTATTGTGTTTGTAATAAGTTACTGATATCTTTGACTTGGCATTTTTGTAAATGGGTACAGTTCAGCTCTGTGGTAAAGCTGTGGATTCACATAATGGGATACTCAAAATATCTCTTCCCACCATCACACACACTTTAAGCTGTGGGTGCATTACATGAGTGACAGTCAGTACTATAGTGTGGATGATGGTTGGAAGGATGCTGCTGACTTTGTGTTCCATCTGGTTAGTAGTTCAAAATTAGGGAAGGTGGCAGATTGACATAGTAGCTTTTCCATAAATACAAATTTCGTGTAAATAAACGTATTATGTGAAAAGAAAGAAAAGAAAGGTTTAATGTATTAGTTAATAGTCCACCTGCGTTAGTATGAACAGAAAAGAACAACGGAAAAACTAGTTATGTTAAATATCACAATAATAGTAGTAAATATATCATGCAAATAATGAATTGAAATGTTGTATCGTCTATGATGATGGTAAACTGTATAATCACTAACGATGTGAAAACGTACTATTACTTATAGTTAGCGGGATTTCAGTGGTTGAGGATGGCTAAGTGATTAGTATGTCGAACTGTTGGTCTTGTATTCACATACAATTATACCAAACAACCAAAACCAATGGTGCTCCGCACTTTGGGGTCATGGATGCGTTCTAAGAGTGACGGTAAAATTTCAGTATTTAGTCAGATGGTGTGTTGAACTGAATTCTCGGAGGAACTGATAAACAGTTGTAGTTTCGTAAATACTAATACTAACAATTAATAAATATAAAAAATCTGACCAATTTCTACTTTTAGGTGGCCTTTATGTAATTTTGCTTTGATTAATTCAAACTCAGTTTTTATTCAGTATCATACCATTACTGAACTGGTGAAAGCTTGTTGAGTTAAATCTTATGTTTTTCACCAGATATTCTACTGTAATCAAGTATACTTCTGAAAGTCTACCATGCATGTTTTGCACAATACTTAAATACTTAAGCCTCACTGATATCGAATTGGTTTGTGTTCGAATACTCGCTCAAAGCTACACGATAGCTATCTACGATAGCCGTCTCTAATTTTGAAATGATAAACAAGAGGAAACGCAGCTAGTCAACAGCCCCCCCCCCCCCCCACCCCACAGGGCTGTTCGAATTATGTAAAATGTTGAGGAGGTTAGCTTCGTTCGCCATTTTCCTCCGAGAAAGCAATTCTCCGTTCACAGGCTGTTTAAATTATGTAAAATGTTGAGGTTAGCTTCGTTCGCCATTTTCCTTCGAGAAAGTAGTTCTCAGTTCACAGGCTGTTTAAATTATGTAAAATGTTAAGGAGGTTAGCTTCGATCGCCGTTTTCCTCCGAGAAAGTAGTTCTCAGTTCACAGGCTGTTTGAATTATGTAAAATGTTGAGGTTAGCTTCGATCACCATTTTCTTCCGAGAAAGTAGTTCTCAGTTCACAGGCTGTTTGAATTATGTAAAATGTTAAATGGCGATCGAAGCTAACCTCATAATGAAGAATAGTATTCTTCTGTCTGAGAAAAAGTAATTAACTTTACACAGCGGGAGTAGATTTGGCTGACGGTTACAATTACTACTTACATCTATCTTTTCTTTTACGACTCAGTTTCTTCGACCTTTTTTTTTTGGCAAGCTTATCTTTACATATGTAGTTAATTATTCAGAGAAGGGACGATATTGTCAGTTTAATTTCCCGCTTGTGACTTGAAAGTTATAGAAATTCGGAATTGAAAATAGAGACAGGGACAATATTAACTAATTTGTTAGATCGTATACTCGAGAGTTGTTTATGTATATCTTAAACCACAATATAAGATTGACAAATATTGTTTTCAAGCAACATATGTTTTCAGTTGGTTTCATAGTCTAGGAAGAGATTCCCAAAAGAGCACATCTTTCAAGTTAAATGTAGCATCAGTTTTTTTTTATGAGAAAGTTTTAGGGTACCATATACCCCCAGACGTGTCGACGACTCGAACTCAGACCAACCATCTATTTTTCTGTTAAGCGTAAGATCATAACTAAACATCTTATAGATTGAAATTTGCAGCACTAATTTTTTCAGTAATATTTTTCACATGTGAATATTTAGAAATTTGTATTATCAACAAGTCAGAAGCTGTAATGAAAATACTTTATTCAAAATTTATTTTAAACTCAATTTCATTTTCGAACAAAGAGACCTTACTAAGTATAGGAAAATTGTGTTAGAACTCTGGATTTCCGAACTGACGGCTCAAATTCGAATGTATACGATATTACTTTGTTACTGAGCTGGAAGGCGTCTATAGAGAATACGAGCCCAACAAAAACGGCGGCTGTGACGAGAATAGCGACAGAGATAAACGTGAAGATAGAGATTATTGTTAACATTGAACATCTGTTGTTGGATTTATGGCCCTTCAGGGAGGCGGAGATATATAAATCCCATGTCCAAGGAATTGGATGTGGAGGGAAATAAGAGTGCCCCAATAAAACCAATTTTCATTGATCAAGCCCCGAAAATTCTACTTGGCTAGTCCCCGAATCTTGGAAGAACATGTAAAAGGAAGGAGAGATGAGTAGTAATCTGACCAGGATTTATAATTGGCAAGGGATTTTTTGTTGTTCTTGTTAAGGAGACGACTGAATGGGTGTAGTTGGCTGAGGGGGAGGTATATTATGCGAAGCGAGATTGGGTTCGTCGTTGTCGCTGGAGGAAGGCTGACGGAAAATGGAGCGACTGGTTTGTGTGTCGTCGATATATTTATGGAGCCTGAGTGGAGAGTCGTAAATCCTGACGGGATTTAGTGGAGTATACGCATCTAAAAGGAAGCAGTGTAGTGTCGGAGAAATAAGGGTCGATTTCGTCGGGAGGTATCTGTAAACTGTTGATCATCTTGGAGAGGTGGGGGGGGGGGGGGTTTG